TGATTAAATGGTAATTACTGCCTTATTACCATGTAATTACAAGGTAACAAAGATGTGATTAAATGGTAATTACTGCCTTATTACCATGTAATTACAAGGTAACAAAGATGTGATTAAATGGTAATTACTGCCTTATTACCATGTAATTACAAGGTAATAAAGATTTGATTAAATGTAATTACTGCCTTATTACCATGTAATTACAAGGTAATAAAGATGTGATTAAATGGTAATTACTGCCTTATTACCATGTAATTACAAGTAACAAAGATGTGATTAAATGTAATTACTGCCTTATTACCATGTAATTACAAGGTAACAAAGATGTGATTAAATGGTAATTACTGCCTTATTACCATGTAATTACAAGGTAACAAAGATTTGATTAAATGGTAATTACTGCCTTATTACCATGTAATTACAAGTAATAAAGATGTGATTAAATGTAATTACTGCCTTATTACTATGTAATTACAAGGTAATAAAGATGTAATTAAATGTAATTAATGCCTTATTACCATGTAATTACCATGTAATTACATGGTAATTAGGGTACAATTTTACAATGTAGTTGTCTGCAGTAATGTAGCACTTACCTGGTAATGTATTACAATTTGCTATGTAACACCTAAATAAGTAGTAGATAATTTGGACAGTTTTAAAGTTATATTTTATTGTAATTAACCACTAACCCCAACATTTAGTTGCATTTTTTTGGTTTTAAATATAGTGTTGAGTTACTTAGTAATTTGATTGTAGTTACCCAATAAAGGTAGTTTTACTAACAGTAGTTTTTCTTTTGTACCCTTATTACCATGTAATTACATGGTAATAAGGGTACTGTAAAAGAAAGTGTTACCACGTTCTGGACAACCTATGAAGTGTTTGTTCAGCTCTAGAGATGTCTAAGTTTATAAATCTTCTGAAGCTTCATTTGGACGTAAACAYACTGTAAAGCTAACAATTAGCTCACATGTCTGTATAACTGGACGTAGCCTGTTAGCTCGTACAGCTAGCTCCACAGCTCCAGAGGCACATCACTGTGAGTCACACAATCATTGTGGTGTTTGTGTTTGTGGTGTTTCCCTCAGAGCTCACACCTGCTTCAACAGACTGGACCTGCCCCCCTACCAGTCCTTCTCCATGCTTTATGAGAAGATGCTGACCGCTGTGGAGGAGACCAGCACCTTCGGACTGGAGTGAACCTCAGCCGGACCCTGGGAGTCCTGCTGCGTCTGGACCGGTTTCATTAAGTATAGCACCCCCCACTTCCTCATTAAACCCAGAGTCTCAGCTCTGCCACGCCCTCCCTCTGGATCTGATCCTGTTTGGACCCAGACCTGCACTGCCTTCAGGATCACGTCTGACCAATCACAGACCGTTTTTATAAGAACAATAATTWAAAAARAGCTTTTATAAAACAGCTGGATGARTTTGTTGATGTGAAAAAGGTGCATGGACCTGGAGGAGAACCAGAAACACCTCCCCCTGGTGGACCACCCTCAGGGTTCCCTCGCTGAACGGCCACTGATGGTGCTGGGTGGGATTCTCGGCAGCCATCTTGTAAAGAGCTACACGTCTCACTCATCGCTACAKGTAGCTCCTCACAACATGGCGGCACGGCTTCTGGCCTGGTTGGAAGCCCCGCCCCCAGTGGCCCACCTCAGTAGCTGCACCTGTCTGTGGGGGAGGGGCTTATAAAGGAGTGATTTTAGAGTCCGCCTCTTTTCTACCAGATGTTGTATTTTCCTCCACAGGAAGTGGTTTTTAACCACCTGACTCACTTTGTGGTTTTCTATCAAATCAGCGACATCRGGTTTGTTTCGTCGTGGTTCTACGAGCACTGGGTCCAAACGTTGAGAGGCTGAGTACCAAACAACACAGAGATGAAGAAAAACAGCTGAAACAGCCGAATATACACTTCTCATTTGAACCTTTGTGAAGAGGAGAGTTATTATCAGCTCAGCCTGCCTCTCTCATGGTGTAGGGGTGCATTAGTGCCTCTAGCAGCAGGGTTGCCAGATAAGGAACTAGCRCTGTAGTCTCTCTGTAGTCAGAACTGGGTTTGGCACAGAACTCAACTTTTGGAGCCAMTAAGTGTTTGATAAATCTTCGGCTGTTTGCAGCTAAAAAAAAATGCATGAAAACATTAATTTTCCATCTTATAATCCTTAAGTTTCACAGAAATGTTTCACTTTTCACTGTCTGTCACGATTGTACCGAGTATTTATTAAATCTGGTTCTGGTGGACCGGGACCGGGACCAGGACCAGGACCAGGACTAGGACCAGGACCAACCAAAGACAGAACCCACTGCCATGAAGACCTGATGAGGTCTTTAATCCCACCATCAGATAACCGGACTGATCTGTCTGAGCAGAACCTACCAAAGTTCAGAACCAGAACCAGACTTTACACGTGAATGTTCAACAAATAAACTCATCTCTGTACACAACTTCGGCTGTGGCCTCTTTTATCGGCTGCTGATAGAAGCTGGAGCTCTGCTGAAAGGAGCAGAACTCGAGCTCAGAACCAAAGAGAAATATTTAGATAAATGTAGAAAAACAAGCTAAAAGTAGMAAAAGACTTGAACAGACTTAGACAAAGGCTTAAATAGAAAAAGCTGAATGTTAGCTAGAAACAAACAAAACAAGCTAACAGAAGTTAAACAAAAGCTAAAGGTAGTAAAACTTAGTAAACGACCAGATAAAAGTAACAAAATGGTTCTGAAAACAGCAGCTACAAGCTAAAAACTGTAAAATAAAATCTAAATGCTAAAATTTGTGGACCGATTGAAATAATAT